TATTATGTAGTGACATTATTTATCTCTTTTATGGCTTTTTTTTAAGTTTATTTTGTCAGATACAAGTATTGCTACTCCCACTTTTTTGTTGTTTGTTTCCATTTGCATGGAAAATTTTTTCCATCCCTTCACTTTCATCCTGTATGATTCTTTTGTTCTGGGGTTGGTCTCTTGTAGACAGCATATACATGGTACATGTTTTCTTATTCATTCAGCTATCTTATGTCTTTTGATTGGAGCACTTAATTATTTACATTTAAGTTATTATTTATAGTTACTTTTATATTTCTATCTTTATTCTTTGTGCCAGGAATGGGTAATATTCAGCCCACAAACTGTATAAGGCCCAAGAAATCATTTTGTCTGGCCCTGTCAAGGCATTAGGGGTGTGTTAATTAAATGTTTGACCAAATATAGCCAGCTAAATTTTAAGTTGTTAATTTTGAATGGCCCATGAATAATGTTATAAATATACACGTGGCCCTTGACAGAAAAAAGGTTCCCCACACCTTTATGCCTATGTTCCTCCCTTTCTCTCTCTCTCTCTCTCTCTCTCTCTCTCTCTCTCTCTCTCTCTCTCTCTCTCTTTCATTCCTCCTCCTCCTCCTCCTCCTCCTCCTCCTCCTCCTCCTCCTCCTCCTCCTTCTTCTTCTTCTTCTTCTTCTTCTTCTTCTTCTTCTTCTTCTTCTTCTTCTTCTTCTTCAACAGTCCCTATAGCATTTCTTTCAATGTTGGTTTGGTGAAAATGAAGTCCTTTAGCCTTTTGTTGGTGGTGTTCTGGGAAATTCTTTAATTCACCTTTAATTTTGAATGATAGCCTTGTTGAATAGAGTAGTCTTTCAAATGCTGTTCCTTACTTTGAATATCCCATGCCATTTCTCGTGGCCTGTTGTGTTTCTATTGAGAAAACAGCTGACAGCCTTATGAAAACTCCCTTATAGGTTACTGACTTTCTCTTGTTAATCTTAAAATTCTGTCTTTGTCTTTAACATTCACCACTTTATTGATATGTCTTAGTTAGTGTGTGTTTCTTTGTATTCATCTTGACTGGGACTCTCTGTGCTTCCTAAACTTATGTGGCTTTTTCCTTTACCAGGCTAGGGAAGTTTTCTGTTATTATTTATTCTAAAAGGTTCTATATTCCTTGCTCACTTTCTTCTCCCTCTGGTATACTGATGATGCAGATGTTGTGCTGTTTGTTGTCCCAAAGTTTCCTTAAACTCTCCTCATACTTTTTAAGTGTTTTCCTTTTTGCTGCTCTAATTGAGTGTTTTTTATCCTTTTCTGCCATATTACTAATTTGATCTTCTGCTTCACCCAGCCTATTTAATTCCTTTTGGTGTATTCTTGATGTCAGATAAGGTATTCTCCATTTCTGACTGGCTGGCTCCTATTCATAGTTTCTTTGGCCTTTTCATGCTGATGTAATTCCCACAAAGTTTCTTAAAGTTCCCATTAAGTTCTTTGTAGTTTTCCCTAAGTTCCTTTAGCATCTTTATAACCATTACTCTCAACTCTGTCAGTTTGTCTCCCATCAGGGTGCATACCTAGGTTGCAGGCTTGATCCCCAGTAGGGAATGTGCAAGAGGCAACTGATCAGTGATTCTCTCTCATCATTGATGTTTCTATTCTCTCCCTCTCCCTTCCTCTCTGAAATCAATATATATATATATATATATGTATATATATATATATATATATATATATATATATATACACCCTACCTATAACACTTAATTTCTTTAATTTCTTTTTCCCATCCCTTGTGTCATGCTCTCATTCATTATATATATATATATTTATATTTATATACACACACACACATATATATATATGTGTGTGTGTGTGTGTGTGTGTGTGTGTGTGTGTGTGTGTGTATCATAAGCAAATTATAATAAGGTCAATTAAAATAAGAAAAAGAAAATTTAACTTTATCATCATATTGATTTTCTAATACTCTTCTTTCTCCATTTAGATCCCTAATACTGGAGGGAACCCTTGTGACTAAGTCCCTCTACAGCTTTTAACTAAGGTTTATCAACACAGAGCCTCCAGCACTGGGCCAGTTGCAGCTCAGGTTTTCCTACCTGGGTGCTGGTTCCATGGACATTTCAGCTGGTGAGTCTCTGAGCTGAGAAGCTGTGATTCCCTGAATTCACCTGCCTGTTGCTCCAATCTGGGAGGTAGCAGTTTTCCCTGTGTCCTCCCTTCTCTTATGAATCTGAGAAGAGTTAATATTTTTCAGTCTGTTTAGCTTTCTACTTGTTATTAGGACATAGTGGCAACTTCTGATCTCCTTATACACAAACTGAAACCATATGTAGCCTAACCTACATCTAAAGCAATTTTGTAAATTTTACCAAGACTTTTTTTGTGGCTTACTTAATTATAAAAACCATATAAAAGGTACTAAAATGTATTGAATGAATATTTTTTTAAAAACAGAAAAACATACAGGACTATATGTAAAAGCTCTTATAAACAATTGTTTATAAATGTCTAGTGTTACAAAAACTACCAAGCACAGGTGCTTTGGTTTCAGTTCCTCAGGGCCACTGCACAAGAATGTGGCAGTTGTGCACTGCTCAGCCTGAAGGAGTGCCCTTCCCATAGGCCCCGCAGTCCTAGGTGGCAGTTCTGGTTAACATCATGGAGCAGCATGATTTAGAGCTCATGAATTAATCTCCTCATGAGGCACTAAAATACCTTTCTAATGCAAGTGCTTTTGGTTTTAGATATTTCTGTGTGTGCAGGTGTGCATGTTTCTGTGTGCCTCTATTTTTTATCCTCTTGATTCTGCTACTTGTGTGTTTCAATCAGATTACTAAAGAATTGGGAAGATGGTTGAGAGACAGCCAACCAGGAACTGAAAATTGAGTAAACATATTCTCCCATAATGAAAAAGGCATCACAACAAAAGATATGCTTAAACATATAGTTTTTTAACATGAAAAAGTCACCCTTTTGTAAAATGAAATAGCTTCAGCTATATATATTTAATATATTTTTCATTTGTTATTTACTACATCCTTCTCTGTAAGTAGCTATTTTAAGTGCTATGGCTTCTAAGTAGTAGATTATTCTTTTTGTAAATTTAATTCAATATATTTATGAAGAAGAAACATTAACAATAGATTTACTAAGTCCTGCTCCAAGTTCCCCTGCACAAGATAATTATTTGTTAAGCCACAGCACAGTGCCCAGCACATAGTAATTATTCAACAAATGATTTCCTTTCTCATGACTACATATAATTGTCATTCAGTGAAATGGGGCTCTAATAAGAAAAGCAAGACTGTTAACATTCACCCTTAATTTTAAAATTGATTTTTAAAAGAAAAAGGCACTACTAAAGTTATTAGAATTTTATAACAACATTACTTTACAATACTTGTCTGATCACAGATGAACTAACTTCGGGAAGAAGGCAGGGGAGGGGGATTGATTAGAGATCAACCAAAGGTCTTGTATGCATGCATATTAGCTTGACCAATGGACACAGACACTGGTGTGGTGGGGGCTTGCTCTCAGGGGTGGGAGTGGCCACGGGGAGGGAGGTTACTCAGGTAAAAAAAGAAATATGTAATACTTTAAACAATAAAAGTTGTTGGATTTTGTTAAAAAAAAAAAAAAGATGAACTTTTTAAAGTGTATTTTTTCTACAACCAACATTTTTTGAGCCTGACATTAAATTAAGGCATACTTTCCAACTGGGCTCCACATTTTGCCTAGAATAAAGTACCAGATAGCCTACTACCTAACCTGCCTTTTTTTTTTTTTTTTTTTTTTTTTGCATGTATACTTTTAGATAGCAGAAAAGTAAGTTTTATAAAAGGACACAAAAGTGATATGGGCCTTGGAATCAATAACCATTAAAAGCTATATAATTTTAATAGCATATATAATTTTAATAGCATAACTTTTAATCACACATTGTAGAACTATGAATGTTTCACTAACATAATTTGCTACAATTTCTATTATGTACCACAGACTTGAATATTATAAACATGTATATACTCTTAAAATAAAATATTAAATTTTCTTCTGATGTGCAATTTTTTATATGTGCCTTCATTATTTGTATAAATTGTTGTAACTTCCCAAAATATCAGGCACATCCACATTCAAACATGAGATACAAAATGTGTTCTAAATTCAAGTGAGTAAAACTTTTCAGTATATTTGAGCATTGTTCACACTACATATCCAATATAAATATAAGTATACATTTATGCAATATATTTTCATATTTAGGAATATTACAAATCAACTTTTTGATTTCAAGTTCTTAATATAGAGTTATAATTTAAAAGAAATTATTTGTATTAAAATATTTTAGAGTTAAGTATTATACCGTATTTTTCGGACCATAAGACGCTCCGGACCATAAGACACACCAGTTTTTAGAGAAGGGAAATGAAGAAAAAAAGATTCTGAAACAAATAGTGTCCTAAAATATTTTATGTGCATTAAAACCCAACAACACAGTCATAAACACATGTAATCAACCCTGTAAAGTAAACAGCAGCATTTAGAGCCGGGCAAGCACACAGAGACCACACAGAGCCGGGCAAGTAAAAAAACTTTTTTTTTTTAAAGTATATGTGTAGGCTATATTTGGACCATAAGACTCAGGGACTTTTCCCCCCCACTTCTGGGGGGGAAAAAGTGCGTCTTATGGTTCGAAAAATACGGGTAAGCTCCTGTTGGATTGATAGATGAAATGAGAGACAAAGATGCATTGGTAAACAAGATTCCCTCAGGCCTTCCCTTAAGGAATTTAAAAATTAATGGTAGCTCAGAAAAGTGAAAATACAGTGAAAGTCTTAAAGTGCTATAACTGGATTCTATGAGAACTCATAGGAGATACTCAAGTGCCTAATAAATACTCACATCAACTTTAATCTGTCTATTCAGAACATTTCTCACTTTGGAACATAATATTACTTGATTAAAAAAAATTACTTAAGGTATATTTAAGATTTTACATATTATTGTTCATAAGTGCATGGTTTAAATTATTATTTTTGAGGGTAAGCAGAGACACAGAAAAGAATGCAAAAGGAAAATTCAAACAATGCATTTAGCTACCTGTCTCTCTTTTATTTGGTATAATTAAAATACTTAGCATTTATTGAGTTACTATTATTTGCCAGACAATGTGATGAAAACATTCCTTCCCTCATTTAATCCTCTAAACCCTATTAAAGTATCTTTTCAAAAAGTTTTTTTTTTTTCATTTTATCCCTTCTTTCCCTCTATCACCCACTCCCATCCCCCTCCACCTCTGTCATTGCTCATCTTTTGGGGTGGAACCTAGGGCTTACAGTGGTCAAAGAACTTGCCCAAAGTCAAAGCCAGAAGCTAAGCTTTGAACAGCGGCCAACAGACCTGACAGTTGTGAGGGGAAACCAGAAAGCACAGAGAGTTGGGGACATTGGTGGAGAGTAGGGGGAAGCAGGCAAGGTCAGTTGTACACTTTTAAGCTATTTGTTCCCAAAGATCATTGAAGAGACTGGCTCTGTAAAACATTCTGCACACATAAGACTCTGACAAATCCTTCTAGCATCTGAAAATTCATGCAGAATGAAGAGCCCCTACTATGAATATTCAAGAGTGTACCAACATAGTGAAGGCAAATTGCATAATTATGTATCTAATTGTTAACAACAACTTATGCATTTTATATAATAACCACATAAAACACTAACAAGTGCATTTGTAAGTTGAATTTCCAAGTTTAAACAGGGCTTTTGTGTGATTGTTTTTATGATGGTATCAAATTCCACAAAACATTATTTTGCTTTGATATCTACATCTCGAATTTATGGCTCCCTATTATAAAATTTCATCTATGTATTGCTGATGTACCTTGATTTTACTATATTAAACTATTTTATGTTAGTACTTCAGTACTAATGAAAAAGCTAAGCCTTAAATTGAGTCAAACATCTGTTAAACAGAATTGCTTTTTCTGCTGAAATCAATTAATTATAATTAATCACATAAAATTCACTTACCAAAGTGGGATGAAGAACATTATTCTATGTTTGAAGGAGACCCTAAAACTACAATTCAGATTTTTAAAAAGTATAACCTAAAAGTTATTCAATAACTCCAGGTATATTTTCTAGAAATTAATTTTAATTATTTAATTCCTATAATGATATTTAATATAATATGATTAATTTAATTAAGTAAGAAAAATCTTACTCTTGAATTTAGTGGGGAAACATGTTCTCATTTGTTTTACAGGCTTTATTAAAGAGCATTTTAAGAAAGTACACAAAAATAATGAAAATTAATTACTATTTTCTTGAGATGCAGGGGTCAACTTATAAGGACATAAATTTACTTAAATTTAGCACCATTTATACACATTTTAAAAAACTGATGGTACCATTTTTAAAAAAATAGCTTATTTTTTACAATCTAGTTTCATTTCTTTATATAATGCAAAAACATATACCACAGAAAAGAATAAGATTACAAATGTATACACATGCATTATAAAGAGGTTTAATTATATTACATTTTTCCTTTTAAAATGAAGACAATTCAAAGGAGGAGAAAATCCTGTATTTGGTTAAGTAATTGAAGTAAACGTAAGAGAGAGTCACCAGTACATTTTTACAAAGGCCCAATACGGGTGTGATAGTTCCCAGGTCAATGATTAAGCTAAATCTGACAAAAATAAAGGGTAAATCCTGGAGCAGGATGCCCAGGGAATTTAGAAGAGGGTTCTGGGGAGTGAATATAATTCGAAGGAGAGAAATGAAACTGAACAGGTAGACTGGGTAGACCCAGGCTGACTTGTACACAGCTTGGTGGCCGGCCACACGCACCATTTCGATGGTGTCAGACCACAACAGAAAGCTCCACAGGAAAATCTCCGCACGAGTGTCCCGCTGGGACATGGCTCTCAGGACTTTGGACTGAAATTCGGGCTCCTCGGGTCGGGCCTGCACAGGGGCGGGGCTCCATGTTGTGGCTGCTGATGCTGTGGTCCTTGGGGCTGGCTGGGGAGGCGCAGGGTTTCCTTCGTTTTGCCTCTCTTGATCCGTCACAGTTTTTATGCGTTGCAAAGTGGTGGCGGAGATGTGCGTATCTTCATTACCTGCAACATGTTTATATTACTTAGAAGAGGCCCGGTGCACAAAATTTGTTCATGGGGGTGTGTGTCCCTCAGCCCAGCCTGAACCCTCTCCAATCTGGGACCCTTCAGGGGATGTCCTACTGTGGTTTAGACCCAATCCCTCAGAAAATGGGTCTAAACTGGCAGTAAGACATCCCACTCACAATCCAGGACTTCTGGTTCCCAACTGCTCACCTGCCTGCCTGCCTGATTGCCCCTAACCATTTTTGCCTGCCAGCCTGATAACCCCCTAACCGCTCCCTTGCCGGCCTGATTAACATCTAACTGCTCCCCTGCTGACCTGATTGCCCCCAACTGCCCTCCCCTGCCACCTGATGGCCCCCAAATGCCCTCCTCTATAGGCCTGGTCCCCCCCAACTACCCTCCCCTACCAGCCTGGTTGCCCCAACTGCCTCTCCTGCTGGCCTGATCTCACGCCCAATTGCCCTCCCCTGCAGGTCTGGTCTTTCCCTCAATTGCCCTCCTCTGCCAGTCAATTTGGTTCTGATTGGTCAGTTTTTATGCCAGTCAGTGTCAAAAGCTCCACCTCCTATGCAGCAATTGGTTCCTCACAGTTGACCCAGATTTGGTTCTAATTGGTCAGTTTCTATGCCAGTTAGCATCAAAAGCTCTACCTCCTAGGCAGCCATTGGCTCCTCACACTTCACCCAGATTTGGTTCTTATTGGTTGGTTGGTTTCTATGCCAGTCAACATCTCTGGGCCTATCAACAGGGTCTGATCAGAAAGGTGGCACTGATCAGCAGCCCAGATGGAGGCCTGGAGAGAAACGGAGGCATAGCTGCTTGCCCGGCGGAGAGAAAGAGGCAAGTGCTGATCAACAGCTGCTGTAGAGGCTATGGATCAGACCATGCTTCTCTCTACAGGTCTCTCTCTGGGCCTGATTTGCATCCATCTCCACAGTCAGTCAGTACCTGCTGCCACAGCAATCAGCAACCCAGCACTGACTGCAGGACTGACTTCCAGTTGGTCGAGCCTCTAGTCATGGCAGACTAAGGGTTTTTATATATTAGGACTAGAGTCCCAGTGCATGAAATTTGTACATGGGGGGGAGAGGGGTCCCTCAGCCCAGCCTGCACTCTCTTCAATCTGTGACCCCCTCAGGGGATGTCTAGCTGCCTATTCAGACAGGGATTGGGCCTAAACCAGCAGCTGGACATCCCTCTCACAATTAGGGATGGCTGGCTCCTAACTGCTCACCTGCCTGCCTGCCTGATTGGCCCTCACCCCTCTGTCTGCTTGACTAATTGCCCCTAATTTGTCCCCCTGTTGGCCTGATCACCCCCACCTTGCCCCCCTGCCAGCCTGATTGACCCTAACTTGTTCCTCTGCCAGCCTGATCAACCGTAACTGCCTCTGCATTGGCCTTCCCAGCCTAAGCTGCAGTCTAGCCTCTCTGGGGGAGGCAATCTGGTGGATCAGGGGAAGATGCTGCTCCAATTACCCCACTGCTTCTGCCACTGCTGCCCTGAAACTGGGCCCTTCTCAACTGCCCACGGCTGCCTGAGCCTGGGTCTGGCCCTTGCAGTGGCTTTGTTCAGAAGGATGTCCAGATGGTCATCCAGAAGATATCCACTCTAATTAGCATATTACCCTTTTATTAGTATAGATTTTAAATTTTAAAGTTCATATAACTTGAAACATTTTTATTTTTAAAATTGAAAATAAAATGGTAAGTATTCTCTTATTTCAGGTCTGTTTTACACATCGAATGTCAAGATAGCACTGGGTCGCATATGGAAAAAACAGGCAAAATCCGTGTCCTTGGATCCTGGCTGTGGATCCTAAGTCATGTTTACCATTTCACAGTAAGAGCCATTATTGATTCCTAAGCTAAGCATTTTCACATATTCTCTCATTAAATCCTCAGAGAAATTGAGAGACAGAGGTCACTATCCCATTTTATAAACATGGAAGGGTGTGGGGGCAAAAGGTAGAATAACACTTAAATTCAATTACACAGTTAGTACTGAATGAGCAGAGCTGGAATCCACACCCAGACTTGTCTTACTCCAATCTAGAAACTCTTAACTTTATGGCTGCTATTATCTACCTACAGGCAACATATCACGTGCTAACTATAAACACAAATATATCATAAAAGCAGGTGAATCTAGCTAACTGGTCCAATCAAAGTACAATGGTCCAATCTTGTCATTTTATAAGAGGCCCACAGAATTCTCCTCAACCAAGATCTTTGGGTTTGGAGTTTGGTGCTATTTAACCATGAGAAAGTGCTAGTGATGGGTGACATTCTCAATCCAAGATTTTTAAACCGATATTCTCTGTGCTGTACTTTACATCCCCGTAAATATTTTAAAACTAATACAAAATGATATTGAATGCAAACTGCAATTACCAAATAAACTTTTGATTTTAAACCTGTTTTTCCCCAAAGTTTTTGAACATTGGTTACAAACATCTTATTTGTGGCCATGGACTATGCCTGATCAACATACCAGTCATCTAAATGAGTAGGGTACTTTCTCATCAACCTTACGTTGTGTGTGTGCGCGCGTGCGCACCCGAGTTCCTGCACACCTCTCTGTGTTCACGTGGGTGTTGAGGTTAGGGGATTATGAAGAGATCCTCGAATCTCAAGACTTACTAACAATGTTGATGGTATGGGTTTTATGCATGAAAAAGCTATAGCACGTTACTTTTTTAAACATTTAACCACTTAAGCATCATTTTTGCTGCTAAGAATTTATCAGGCCTTAGCAGTTTACTTTGAATATGCTGAGCTTCTATATTACTTGGTAAGATAAAATTTAAAGGGAGTCATTAGATTGAATATCTATAAAAATTAAACAAAATCAATAAAAATTTGTTGAAATATATTGAGATAAAGTAAAAACATTTTGCATTATTGTGATTAAAGATTAATAAAATGTTTGATTACTATAAATAGGTATTTTTTAATGACAAATCTGTTTTCTTTTTATACTATTAACTAAAATTTTTAACTGTGAGTGAGTATATTTGTAAACTGAAAAGATAATCTAAATTATTGATGAAATATTACTTACTTTGGTATGAATCATTCATAAATTAAAAGGCAGGATCCATGACCCTTAGAAACTTCTTTACCAACCTTCAATGTCACCATAGCATGAATGAGTATCATTTTAATAAACAATACTCAATTAAGGGAGAAAATTATATACTAACTAGAGGCCCAGTGCACAAAATCTGTGCACTGGCAGGCAGGGGGGTGGTCCCTCAGCCTGGCCTGCATCCTCTCGAAGTCTGAATGCCTGCCTGCCAGCTTAGGCCCAGTACCTCCTAGGCCTAAGCCAGCATCAGACATCACTCTCATAGTCCGGGGTTCTTACAGTCTGAGACCCCTTGCTCCTTACCGCTAGCCTGCAGCAGAGGTGGAAGAGGCTCCCGCCACTGCTGCTGGGCTATCCAGCGGTGAGCAACACTGCCCCAAATAGAGTGCACTGACCACTAGGGGGCATCTTCTGAATTGAGCATCTGCCCCCTGGTAGTCAGTGCAAGTCATAGCACCGATCCTTCTGTCATTTGGTCAGTTTGCATATTAGGGTTTTATTATATAGGATTACTATTATTATTTTAATGTTCATAAAGTCATCCCTTTTTAAATGCAGATGCCCACTGGCATAAAGCTCTCATTTTACAAAAAAATATATATGTGAATATAAAAAATGTTTTTTAGTGGATGTCATGTCCTAGAGAACTCTCCTTTAGCTCTCTTAGAAGATAACATTGTTTAAGGAAGATCCAAATTCCTTTTTCAACATGTGGAACACTGTGTATAATTTGGGCTTTGGAAGATGATTGCCAGTTCAGCATTGTTTCAACACCAGGAAGTGGCAATCTAAGAAGTGACACATTAACACTTTTAAACAGTCTGTAAGAATGTTAAGATCTGTAGTTGTGAGCTGTTGGATGTACAATGAATTCTTAGCCAGAGTTAATTTTTCATGAAATGCTAAAGCCCCGATCCACCTATATTTGGTTAAAGCTGAGCCTGGAGCTTCCTATCGCTCCACAGCTCAATAGAGGCCAGTTTAGGTTTGGGGTTACAGGGACTCTGCTGTCCTCTTTCCAAGTGAGAAGCACTAGACTTATTAGCTGGAGAGCTTTCCTGGCCTAAGAGGCTATGATAAAGTTGAACAAATCAAGAAAGCATTTGGTCGTTAGAATGGACCAGCAAATTTATCCGCAGGCAATGTAAACTTCCTGTATTTAATACGATCCCCCTTGGCTCCATGATTAGTTTCCCTCTGAATTACTTTTTTCTTTAAATTTCCACTTACAGCTGAAATTAATTGTGCTATTATTGCTAGCTGTTAGTGTTCTGTTTGGGTAGGGCAAGGTTGCTTTGTGCAAAAATCCATAGAAGATATCAGCATGAAGGAAGAGATCCACTTGGTGGTTCACATTGCCCAATAAAAACTAAAAATAGCGGCCATTCTGTACAGTTCCCCACATCAGATGCCAGTCGCCAAAACAACTTTTTTGCCTTCACTGTGCAAGCTAAATAATTAAGGAAATGTAATTTTGATACAACAGATAAATATTTAAGTAGGAAACTCATACCTATTTTACTCTATTACTTCTTAAAATGATGTATTTCTCTCTAACTTGTTTCCCAGAAGTTTTAGATGGCTTACAAGGAAAACACAAGCACAACTTAACAAGTAAGTAGTGAGGAATTTTCTAGGGTATGTATTCCCTTTTTAAAAATAAAATAGGAGCCCGAGCTAGTTTCGCTCAGTGGTTAGAGCATCAGCCTGCAGACTGAAGGTTCAATTCCAGTCAAGGGCACACGCCTCGGTTGCAGGCTTGATCCCTAGCCCCAGTAGGGGCATGTGTAGGAATACAGGAAGCAACCAATCATGTGTCTCTCTCACATAGCTGTTTCTCTCTCAGTCTCTCTCACTCCCTTCCACTCTCTCTAAAAATCAATGGAAGGAATATTAACACACACACA